TGCAGCTTATGGCATTGCTGCTGCTCCATTTCCTTCCATTTTCAGGCTCCTTCAACCTCCCATGGCACATGGCACAGCATTTTCCGAGGCGCAGCTGCATTCAAACGTCGCGTCGCGTCGTGTCGCCTACGTGTGGTTTTTCGCACTTGTTTTCCTTTTCTTTTTTTTTTTAGTGTCAATGGCAAGGCAACTACACAGAGCGAGAGGCAGAGGCAGAGAAGGAATGGTAGCAGGAGTGCGTGTAACAGAAAGACAGGTAGAGAGAGAGAGAGAGAGAAGAACACACACTGGGGAGCACTTAGCCGAACTAATGAACTTGATTGCTGGAAGGGGTTGGCAGGAGAGGATAGTTCATTCTGCACGCAGCTCACTTTGTAAATCAAAATCGGGAATAGTATGCCGATGAGCACTCATGCCAATGAACTCTGCCTGGATGAGTCATGCGGAGACAACTAATTAATGAACTGTTGCCAGCACACCCCACACCACTCCACCCCACCACACGGCGCCAATTCAGCATCAGCAGCCCATCCTCATCAGGCAGCGACCGCATGCAGCTTAATTCTCATAAAAGTCACATAAAGTAAATAAGTTTGATTATGAGCAACAAAAAGAAAAAAAAAAAAAAAAAAAAAAAAAAAAAAAAAAAAAAGGAAAAAGTATAAACAGGACACCGCCAAAGGGACAGCAGTGGCTGAAGCTGGAGCAACAGGACTCTCTATACCCCCCCGCATCCCGTTTGGCTTTGGCAGTTGTCACCGCTGGAGTAATTAACATTCACAATGAAAATGAAAACGAGTCAACTGCGGAGCATTGGCTGTGGAGCAGAGCGGAGCGGAGCGGAGCGGTTCTGTTTTCCATTCGGTGTGGTCTGGTCTGGTCTGGTCTGCTTTGGTCTGGTCCGCTTGGAGTCAGTCGCTTTTTGTGTGTGGGTGGTAAAAGTTTTTAATAACCCCGCAGCAACAAACACGGCAATGGCAACGGCAACGGCAATGGCAATGACACAGGATGAACGGACAACCCCCCGGGATGGGACACACAAAGCAGTGCGGATGGCGGATGGCGGAGAGGCAACCGCCAACAGCCACAATAATGACACACAAAACTTTGACAATGTAGTCGTGCGTGCTGCTGCCTTTCCTTCCGCCCCGCACCCTCAGCCAACCCCCACAGCCAGCATGCAGCCTTACAGCAGCTCCCAGTCACCGCTATCCGACGGAAAAGGATTTCTGCCACAACGAAAACAGCAATGAAAGCCACAAAATGTTGCCCGTAGCAGTAGACAGAGATGGTAGTTGCATACGCAACATCAAATTGCTGACCGCACACACACAGACACAGAGACACACCCACACACAGAGACACAGGCACAGGCACACACCCACACACAGATGAGTTTATGGCTGACGGTGGGCTGTGGGGGGGCGGCTGTGGGGTGTCCACTTCAATGGATATTCAATCGCAATGCGAGTGCAACAATTGAAGCGGTTTTAAAATCAACGAATGCGGCTTATTACGCACACAGACACAAACAGCAATCAGGCCACAGCCCACAGCCACCCACTGGAACACCCACTGGAACACCCACTGGAACACACCCAACCCCACTGGACCCACCCAAGCCCACTGAGCCCATTGAACCCATTCAACCACACGCACAATAAAATAAATGTCAAATTGAAATTGACATGCTGTGACAGGCATTGCAAAGTCTGCAGCAGAAGTCCGTCCACCACTGGAGGACTCAGCAGAGGTGTGAGCCAGTCCAACTCCACCCTCAGCCCGATCCAGATGCAGATGCAGCCAGCTTTTAACACTGTAACCAATTAAAATGGCATTAGATTAGAGCCCTCAACAACTGGACAAGCACAGCCTAATTAAGTGAGCGGAGAGAGTGAGAGTCGCAGCGACTCAAACTGGACTCCCCTGGCGAGCCAATAAAAGAGCTGCAAACACTAGAAATACCGAAATAAATCTTTCTGCCCACACATTTTTGGTTTCAATTCAAAGCTTGGCATTTTGCTGGCCTAAAAAGTGTCACGAAACAGAAGTAATTTTTATTTAAACTGGATAAAAACAATTCAACGGCAAGCAGAGACATTTATATGCAAAACAAAACAATTTCCATGAACTACGAGTGTGAAATGTGAGTGAATTTATTTCTTATATTCAATGACAAAGTTGTCCCTCCAACTTGCAAGTTCCAGAACTCCCCCGCAAAATAGTAATCCTTTACTATTTCCATCTAAACAATGAAATTATCGCCAGGGAAGAAGTCGAATAATTTCCAACATTGAAGACTTTGGCTAATTGTTTGCACACCACGCTTGAAAGAGCTCCAGGAAATTGGCATTTTTGGGACTAGGCAGCAGATTCGTTGAGTCGATTACAGTGGACTCCCTGCCCCTTGTCCCCTGCCCTCTGCCTATGCGAGCCCTAATCAAAGTGTCGTTTACCATGGCGGTGCCACCTGGCCAGATTTACGCCGGATAATGCCTACAGGGTGGGAGACTCTCTTTGTGTTTTCGTTCTTTCCAATTTGAGGGGTGTGGGCGGGGCAGGGCACATCGCTTTAAGGCAGAGGCTTTTGATCTGCGCGGCGAGGCACTAATAAGATTTTAAAGAGCATTTATGAAACAAAAGAGGCTGGAGCAGGGGCCTGGAGCAGTGGGGAGGAACAAAGGCAATGGGGCACAAATCAAGGGAAAAATGGTAAATGAGGGAATAGCAAAGCAAGCCCCATCCCAACCCTCCAGACGCGTCTAATTTTATTAATGTTGCCAATTTTCAACGGGTGTGCAAGGCCATCACCAGGTAAGTGCCCCAAGGGGGTGTATGGCTGTGAGTGGGTGGGTTGCTGGTTGTAGCAATAAATGTGCTTCTTACGCGCGCAATTAAATATGAAATATTTAAGAGCCAGCCGACCAAGGGAGCACCAGCAATGGGGTAGGCAAAGAAACACTCGGAGGGGAGGGCTAGGGCACTGTTGCTGGTACTCTTCCTGTTGAGTGTGGGTGGGTGGGTGAGTGGGTTGATTGCATTGCAGCTAATTAATAATTTTTAGGCAATTCAGCAAAATGCTGGAGCAGGGCTGCGACTGCGACTGAGGCTGTTGGCATCTCAGGTGCGGAGCAAACTTCGCCTTGACTTGATTAAGTTGCTTTTTAATGAAGTTCAAAGTGATTTCACTTGCAATTAATACACCTCCAGCAGCCAGCCTCGAGCCTCGAGCCTCCGGCAGCCAGCATCCAGAGCCTGCCATCCTTCCGCCAGCAGCCTCCTGAGCGGACAAACAAAGGGGCTTTCTGGGGGTGGGGTTTCCCCACAGCAATGATTGATGTTGGCCGGATGGGTGGCTGCATTCAATGGGGCAGCCCTGAAGGGCGGCAAACTTCAGGTGAAACTATTTCCCGATGCTCCTCGTCGATTAGCTGACAGGCAGTCCACAATGGGCGGGGGCTATGCTGCTGGATTTTGTGGTGAATTGGGCTGAATATGGCTGGGTGAATGAGTCCAATAAATACCAAAGAAATTAATACAATTTCTAATCAAAAAGAGCCACAAATGCAGCCCCACAGGCCACCCCACGAAAGTTTGAGAGCGACTGCTCTGCAGGCCCTGTAAAACGATCAAGTAGAATGTGGCGTAGAATATAGTAGACTGATCCATGGAAAGGGGAACATGGAGAACATGCCAGAAAGGGGAGAACGAAGGGCAGGCAGCCAGGCAGAGTCTTGATAAAGGGTCCAAAAGTGCCGGCAGATCAGCAACGGAATGGAAATGGAAATGCAAATGCAGCAGAAGGAGCAGGAGGAGCAGCAGCAGCAGCTGGCCCCAACCCAAAAAGCGGGCATGACACTTATCCTCAACGACAACTAATTGGAGCTGCAGCAAATGGCCGGAGGCGTCTCTGCTGGGGAGTGTGAAGGTGGGTCTGTGGCAGGGACTGGGGCCAGGGATCAACCTAATCCACACAGAGCATATAAATAACCATAAATGTGGAGGAACCGTACAAGAAGGAGGAGCAGAAGGAGGAGCAGCAGGAGGGAGCCAAAGCCTGCAGAACATTTTTGCGGTTGAGTTTCTTTTGGCATGAGAGCCACACCGAGCACCGAGCACCGAGTGGAGTGGAGTGGCTGACAATTATTTACAGTCGAAAGTTTTGCCAAGTTGCCACTGGAACTGCTGGAGATGCTGTCAGGACATGCGAACATGTGTATCCGAGGCGGGGTCCAAGTTATGGCATGCGGCAGCAGGCAGCAGGAGGAGCCAGAGGGGAAGCAGAGACAATTGCAGAAATTATGCAACTGTTGGAGGCCACAGGACAGCACTTCTTGTTGTCAACCTGGGTATGCCAGTGTGCCAGAGAGTCTCCAGCTACAGCTACAGCTACAGCCCCTGCAGCTACTGCTCCGTGCTCCCTGCTCCCTGCTCCGTGCTCCGTGCTCCGTGCTCCTTGCTCCCTGCTACTGCTGCTGTCCTTGCAGACAATTAAGCAAGGACAATGCCAGGCAGCAGCAGCAGCTTTATAAATGCTCATGCATGCACACACAGCAGCCGAAGCCGAAGGACTCGACCCCGCCCCTCTAGGAGACCTCAGCCAGCAGACACCTGACGCTGCCCTGCCGCCTGCCGCCTGCCGAATGCCGCCTGTCTGCAGGATACTCTTCCAGGATGTGTTAAGCCAGAGAACCATTGAAGTTCATTTGCCGAAAGTTGTTCCCCGACTCCAACCCCAACTCCAAGTCCAACTGCAATGTCTGTCCATCCTAGCATCCGTTTTGTATGGTGCAGGAAGCCCCGGTAGCCAGCCAGCATAATGCCATATCCATGAACGCAATTTGCCATTGCTGTCAGTGGCCCAGAGCCCAAGAGCTGCCTGCTGCATGCAGCATGTGGCATGTGGCAAATTACAAAGCATTCCATGATTTACCTAATTGCCAAGCCCTCCCATTCCTCCCTGCCCCTCCCCCTCCCAGTAAGGATCAACATGAGCGCTCTTCACAACATTTTTATTTTGGCGCCATGGGCCTGGCCTCCACCTCCACCTTGCGCTCTGGGGCAGGGTCACGCTTCACGCGGCTCGTCAGTCGCTCTGGCATAACGCTCTGCCAGATGCCGCCGCTACGCTGCGACGGATCACGGGCCAGCATCCGCTCGCCCCGCCTGATGGCCGCCTGGTTCATCCAGCGCGTCAGCTCGTGCCCGAGGTTTGTGTGGCGCGTGAATCGGTTGGGGCCTTGGCCCTCGTACACCGTATACGAGCGGAGTGTATAGCCTGCGAGTGGTAATATGTATATCCCTGGATCTTGCATGACCAACTGCCTGGCACTTACCAACCACAAGAATTTGGGTAATTTGACTGAGCAAAGATTTCCGTGTCGATGACATTGTGCCGGTCGGGTCGAGTCGCGTTGCGTTGCGTTGCGTCGCGTCACAATATTTCGTACTTGGTTTAAATTTGGAAACTTTTCAAACTAAATATATACTCCCAAATGTTGAACTGTTGAACTGTGGAGCTCTGAAGGTGTAATGATTCGAGTCTTTGTTTGTGTTTCGTGTGTTTCGTGTGTCTGTGTTGGAATGAAATCTATGCGCTTGCCCTGTGTTAGGTTTAATCGGAATTCGACTTGGCATGAGTAGGGCACTCTTAAATATACATAATTCACGCCTGAAGATTGTTCAATTTTCCATTTAATTAATAAGCGAATATTTAAAGTATTTACACTATTATTATTATTATTATTTTTATTTAAATTACTTACACCATTATTATTATTTTTTAAATTTTTATTTCAATTATTATAATTATAATAGTATTAATTATTATTATTTTTATTTAAATTTGTTACACTATTATTAAATATTAAATGGGAAAATGTGCCCAAGTTGATGTTTACCCTCCTGAAGATGTTCAAAAATTCCATTTTTAAGCGTAAATTATTTATCTATAATTATTATATTTACCCATTTATTATTATTTTATTTTATTATTATTTACACTATTATTATTTTTTTTTAATTTATCCTATTATGTTATTTTTATTTTATTAATTATTTTTATTTTTATTGACATTATTTACAATATTTTTATTATTTTTATTTAAATTTATTTACAATATTATTATTTTTTTTAAATTTGTATTTCAATTATTATAATTATAATATTATTAATTATTATTATTTTTATTTAAATTATTTACACTATTATTATTTTTTTTTTGTATTTAAATTATTTACACTATTATTATTATAATTAATATTTTTTTTATTTAAATTATTTCTGCAAGAGGGAATAGCAACATCTTTTTGTATGCAGCTCCTATTTCTATTGTTCCTCTGTTGTTTAATTTTGTTGCACTTAATTTATTTTAATCACTGGGGGGTGGTTGGTGGGAGGGGGAAGGCTATGCCGCCTCACTCTAATTCGCTGGGTCTCCTGCTCTGGCTGGACCGCAACCTATGCCTGGAAATGGCCTCAGGGGCCGTCTCTACGGGCACTTCGGCTGCCGCCTGGATACGCTAAGCTCTCTTCGGATGGCGGCTCTGGGCCCGATTGCGGGACGATGGCTGCACTGGAGCGCCGCTCGGGCACCCTCTGATCGTCCCACTCCGCGCTGTCAGACGACGAGCAGGCTCGATGGTATCCAGGCGATCGGAGACAGAGCGCTGCAGCCGCTGCGGGCGCGAGTGCCGGTGCCGGGTCCGAATGTCTTCGCTGGCACAGGGCTGGTCGTGGCAGGACGCTCGCTGGGGTCCAGGCGATCGGGCACGACCGAGTAGCGGTGGTTCTTGATCCGCAGATAGCCGTAGATAAGGGCATCGTTGAGGCCGACTGTGATCTGGCGCTTCAGCTCCTCGTCGCAGCGATCCAGGCGCTCGGCCACGGCCTCAACGATCTCGGGCTGGGTCAGCGGGCGATCGGCTGCGGCCACCACCTGCAGGATGTTGCTGAACAGGTGGGGGATCAGCTTGCGCTTCGTCGGTCGATTGTAGCCCCTTGGCAGCATTCTGCCGCACCTCTAGTGGCACCCCGGTGACACCCAGCGAAACGGAACTGGAGCCGGAGAACTTTATCGCCTCAAATTCGAAAATCGAAAGTTTTTGCCTAGATTGATGAGTGACACTTGCCGCTCAGCTGGCTGGCTACGAAATGGAGATGCTCCCCTCTGTCTCTCTCTCTCTCTCTCTCTCTCTCTCTGTGTGTTTTGGTGCGCCAAAGTTAGTCCACAGTCGAGCCCCCCATTAAGATTGTCTGTCGCCGTCTTTAAGCCCTTTGTGGCCCACTCCCAGTCACCTTTCGTGGCGGTTTCCATTTCGATTCGTTTGGCCCGCAACTAAATCGCAACATCGGTGATGGCCTCGTTCCATGTGTACCCTGTAAGGCAGAACTTTCTGGGGGACTTTTGCAGGCAATGCAAATGGAAAAACATTTGTCCATGAAATAGATTTCATTTTGGTATTTTGGGTAGCATTCGCTGGGTCGTTTCCTGTTCATTTTACGAGCAGGTTTCGAATCTGCGCCAGACAGTCAGTTAGTCAGTCACAGGGGCCTGTCGAGACGGCTGGCTGGCTAGAGCTGGTGGGCGATGGCAGGGGGGCAGGCAGCCAGACAGGCAGACGAGTATCGATTTGCATTTAAAGTTGGCCATCCTACATCCGCCTCCTCTGCTGCTGCTGCTGTTGCTGCTTCTCTCGCTGCTGCTGCTGCTGCTGCTGCTTCTGTTGCGGATGCTGCGGGTAAGCGGATAAGTATGGGTAATCAAGTACAAATGCGGGGGACACGATGCCTCGATGCCTCGATGCCCATGCCGATGACGACATGGGCACAAAGAAGGATCTGCGACAGGCGCTTCAGAATTTGCATAGGGCCCTCAGCAAGAAGACGACGGGCCATCATTGCTATTGTCCTTTGCTGCTGCTGCTCCTCCTCCTGCTGTTGCTGTTGTTGTTGTGTCTGGCACGTGTCGCAAGGAATTTAGATAGCAGGAAGTTTCACATTGACTGCGGCAGTGGCAAGGGGGCTGGGGGAGGAGGTCTCTGTACAGTGCATAACACAGTAACCGCAACCTGATTGAAATCTTCTCGAGTGCAATCGCATTAATCGCACAGCGAGGGCAGCTTCAACAGTTGCCCCAAAAGTGAAGTGAAGCTCTCTCTCATCAATTTATGCTCTCCATGCCATATTTACATATATGGAAGGGCAATCCTATATATGAAGCAAAGTCAATGCCGCCAGCTCTTTTTGATCCCAAGGCCTGCACTGAGGTTCATGCAGATCCCTTGCTACGCTGCACAAATTTCCCATAAGCGAACAGACACTTGCTGCCTGGGACTCCATTAACCAGTGGGAGTATATGCCTGACCCTTATGGGTATTATCTCGGTTCGACTGTAGCTGGCAGAGCTGGCATATTTGGCGGCGCATTCCCAATTACTTTTGCCCCATAAAATCCTTAACTGTCATTGCCAGGTACTCCCCCCCCCCCCTCCTTGGAGCACAACCAGACAAAGTCTCAGTCCTGGTGGGTTGGCAAAACTTTTGTTTCATTTCCATTTCGCTGGATACTCACGTATTATTTGACTCAATGTCGGAATGTGCGTGGCCAGGGCTGTGCCGGGCTGTGCTGGCCAGTGTTAATTATGACTGACAGTGTTGGCAAGCGCTGCGCACATTCCCAGCACTTGGAGGGCAGCTAACTTTTGGCTAATCCGGCGCCAGTGATTAGGCCCGGCTCCAAATGAGGGCCGACTGGCAACAATTAAAGCCAGCCAAAGCCAGTTGTGGCCAGAGAAAGTTCGTCCACAGAGCGCCCTTCTCCGCAGCAATTAACTGAAACTTTTGTGGCCAGCCACCCATCCACACACATACACTCAGTGGGGAGTGATGCAAGAATTATGACTCCAAGTCAGGCAAACGCAGAGAGAGAGAGAGAGAGCGAGAGAGAGAGCATCCTGTCCGCATCCACACACATGGAAAATAATTTATTTTACGATTAGCGGGAAATGTAATGGCCAATCCCCAATGCCGCCCAAACCAAACCAACGCAATCAGACCATCAGATCGGACCCTGGCCCGGCCCCGGCTCCGGCCTCGGCGATGCGTGTAAGTGGCTGGGCGCCGTTTCCGGCTGGTCAAACGAGCCAAGAAACTGAATATATACATATACACAGAGAGAGAGAGACACGAGCAGCGGACATTAATGGCGACGACGACGCCTGTCGTCAGCGATTTCCCATTGAGCGGAAGTCGCCAGCGGAAGTCTCTCAAACCTGCAAATGTCTGCAACGCAACAAAGAGCGGCGCTCGCTATCGATCGTTGGCAACAAAAATCAGAGAGCGAAAGCAAGCGCGATTCGCAGTAGAACGAATGCCAGTAATCTGTGGCGTATTTTGTGCCCCAAATAGTTGCATTGATACGCCCATAAATGCATACCAAAAATTTGCCACATCTTTTTCGAGTTGCCCGAAGTTTGTTTGCCGACTGAATCGATCCTCAGGCGACGCACACAAATAATACGTAATAATAATAATAAATAATAATGGCGAGCGCTAAGCGAAAAAGTTTTTATGCTTTTTATTGGTTTGGTCTCGCGAGCAAATGGCCAGCATTGGCATCCTGGGGATTGCCAGTGGCGGAGTGGCGTGGCGGCGAGTATTGTCCAACGATTTGTGGCTGAGATTTATCAACAGCCACACGCAATGCTGCCAGACGGTTGCGTGCCTCTCCTGTGGCCTGTGTATGCTGCTCAAGCTGTGCTGAGCTGTGTGTGGATGGTCAGCAGTCGATGGCCCACAGCCCCCAACACCACTCGACGATGGGCGTTACTAATCTAATTTGCAGTTATTGGCAGCCAGATAACGCTCTCCCTCACCCCCCTCGTACTTGTACACACATGTGTGCGGAATTCGTATCGCGTGTGTGCTTTGCTGTGTGCTCCCTCCTTGCGGATTGCCTATAATTTGGCACACAGTGTGCAAGCGAATGCCGCATTACCATCTTGAAGGGGGAGCCCCAGCACACAGCCACCCACACAGCCACACACACACAGCCTGACTCCACCATTAGTCGAAGCTGTGTGCAAGTGCAAAACATAATGAAAATGATGTCAGTTTGATAAGATTTCGCCGCTGGGCGAGTGCTCCTGCTGTATCTCTCTCTCTCTCTGCATCTGTTCCTTTCATATCTGTATCTCTGCTCCATTGTTGTGCGGCTTGTCTTTGCCTGCCTGCCGCCTGCCTCGTCGCGACGGCATGTGGGTGCTCGCTCGCATGTTATGAGAAAAGTTTCCCTGCTTAAAAGATGTTTCAATGGGGGAAAAGGGAAACTTTGCATCGCACCGCATGCTCCTGAAACGAGAGGCGTGAGTGGGGCTTGTTCTACATTCGCACTAAGTGTACCCCACACACACACAAACCCGCACACACACCCGCACACACACCCATTCAATCACATGGCTGTGTGTTTGTGTCTTGTTAGTTAGGGGGCACAAATCTCAGGCAAGTAGTTTGCCATGACAATTGGTCAGTGTATCCCCATGGCCAGGGGAACTTGCTTCGCCGTCACATTGGCTGACTCATGGCACACAGCTCCCCACAGCATGCCCCGCATCTGCGTAGTACTTACAGCTATTTGCACCAGGGAATTGCACCAGAGAATTAAATTCAGTGAGGAATTGAAGTGCGGCGTAGCAGTATCTGCCGAGGCAACTTTTATTTTGCCAATGTTTGCTTAACACTTTAATAGGGATCACAGGCTGGGGGTTTGTCCGCACCGCATAACAGCCCGTGGATGCGAGTAACAATGGCCACGCATCCGCCTGTCCAGCCTGTGCAGCTTCTCCAGCCTGTACAGCCTCTCCAGCCTCTCCAGCCTCTGCACCACAGCAAACACACTCGAAACACGTCCAATCAGCCAGACCACTGCACCGCCTGCCGGGCCTGGCCTGTCACTCTCCTGCTGCCCAGATGGCACAACGATCCGCACCATTGTCGTACTGTCTCCTATCAGAGCATACCGAACTTTCCGTTCCGTTCCGTTCCGTTGCGACCATCAACAGACTGCCAGCTCAGCAGCCGGCAGACGGCAGCCGGCATACGGCAGCTGACAACGCCTATCAAATTAAGCAAAACAAAATTGCATTATGGCGAAAGTTGCAACCAGTGCACAAAGCACAAAGCACAAAGCACACGCCCCACGCCTGCCCCCAGGCACCATCCCATACGAGTGCAGCATGTGTGCTGGGAGGCGTGGCATGTCAGCGTCACCGAAATTATTCATTGCACAGTGCGGTCCAGACAATTTATGCTAATCAACATCAATCGATTTGCATGCCTGCATGGCTGCATGGCTGTGCCTGCCTGTGCCTGCCCGACCAAAGGATAAACGCCCGCCGTCTGCCCTACTCTCACTCTCCAACTGCTGTGCTGATCCTACACCTACCTATTCCTGCTCCTATTCCCACTATTCCCACTGCTACTCCTATTCCTGTTTTCCTGTTTCCACTGCCACTTTACTCGCTACTCGCCCCTGAAAGTGCAGCCACTGGGCTGTTACTTGCCTTTTGGACTTAACACAGTCTGGCGTCTGGTTTCCTAGGCCTGTGCCTACAATTTTCCATTCCAAATATCGCATTTCCCAATTTTAAATATACATTTGTATATATATATGTATATGTTTAATGGTGTCCTTTCGCTTAGGTGAACATTTTGCAGCGAATGCGGCCCAGTGGCGCCGGGCTATTACTGGCTCTGTTTATTGGGCGGTTCCGATGGCTCTGGTTCAATGGCTACCACCCCAAAACAGTAACTCTTCGGACAACCCCCCACCCCCCCAAAGTGGACAATCACTGCATGTGTTTGGGGGGTGGTGGGGGTGATTGCATCATAGACGATAGTGGAGAATGAAAATGGCCCTGAACGGTAGAGGGAGTGCCAGGGCGAGTGCCAGAGAGGTGGCACACTGTTGCTGCTATCTATGGCCTGTGGCTGTGGGTGGACTTGGGGCTTGGGTTGTGCCTGCGACAGCAATAATTTCATAATGTTTATAAAAAGGAATAAACAGAGTCGCCAGGCCAAACGCTTCGAAAGCGACTAACGGATGCTCTTTCGCAGCAAACTCCCTTGGGCATGGGGCATATTCCTCTCTTTTGGCATCTCAATTGTTCTCAAGGGTTTACAGTTATTCCCTTATATGTTTATGTATGTATGTATGTTTTTTTTTTTTGATAATGAAGCTTATGCCAGCTGACTCATCCGTGTGACCAAACAGAGTGCATCCCCTGTGCCCCCCACGAGGAGTAATCAACCCTTCTGCCACCCGCCGCGTCATAGGTCCGATGGGGTCCGTTCGCCACGCAGTTTATAGTCGGCGCTTAGGCACACATGTTGTCATCATGGCCATGCCATGCCCCATGCCCCATTCCCAACCTAATCCACATCCACATCATCATCATCATCATCGTCCTGGTGGTCAGGGCTGGAAACCCGCTGAGCATGCTCATGAATTTCGACTGTATGGCAAATGAAGTCCGAGGGGGCGGTGGCCCCAGCTGTGCAGCAGCGGCGAGCCGCAGAAGCGAGAAAAAAGCGACTGCAAATTTACTCAATTTTCTCCCCAACCCCCTCCCCCCCCCACAAGTCAACGCAAAATTTTATAAATTTTGTTTGCCAACTGTGTGTGGGTGTGTGGGTGTGTTTGTGTGTGTTTTTCTGTGTGGGCGATTTCGTAATTGTTGGACATTTGTCATGGCTGCAGAAATTTTGGGCGCAGATTCAGGCAAAAATCTATACGTATACGTATGCCAGAGGCACTCAGAAATTTGCAGTCAAAATTGCAGTACATTAGAATGCAAGGCACTGGGATTTTTATTCGCTTTCAATTACATTCGCGGCACTTTGCTTAAATGAGTCCAATTCATTCGTTTACAGGGCAGCAGCTCTAACTAGGCAACAGGGCTGTTACAACTGGAGTATAACAGCCCGGTTACAGCTCTTCGCTAACAGCCCTAAAGTTCACTGTTAGCGCTCTCTGAGAACGCAATCACGCTCGCCTCGCTCTCACGATCCAGAAAGCTCTCGAGTGGCCGAGTTGACGATTTAATTTTGCTCCAACTCCCGTTCTAGTCTTGCACAACATATTACGTATACATACATACGAGTATATATTCCACATTTAAACGTCTTCTACTTTGCTTCCTCTACACGCCGAACATGATCGCACTTGTTCTTCAATTCGCATTCTTTTGTCTTCGTTACGCATTCATTCAAGCAGTCGTTCAAGCAGTTGATCAAGCAGTCTGATTAGCTCTCAACTTTCTGCGAAAGCCTCGCACAAGCTTTTTCCCATCCCATTACAAACACTAACAACTTAATCTCATTTAATAAACTAAAATTTAATTAATATGTAAGCCCAAAAAGGTCAAAAATCAGCTCCTGCATATCACAAACGTAACGAATGGTTTTTTGTCAACCGGGGCCGGGTACTCTACTCAACTATGGGCGGACCACAGACTGCGGCATGCGTAACGTGACGTGGTACAGAGGTAACAAATTTGGTCTGGGGTGGGGAAAGGGTGGGGCTCGTCCGGCTATACACCACACTATATGACTTGCACCCGCGGGGCATTGAAACTAGCTAACATTTGAACTTCCAGAATATGTGTGTGTTTGTGTGTATGTGTGTTTGTGTGTGGTTTTTGGCAGGCGTCTTCAACGAGCATGGAATGGCGGCATAAGCGGACCGTCACCAGTCTCCGGTCTCCGCTTCTCGCCTCTGGCACATCCCTCTAACGTTTGCGCCAGGAGAGGGGCTCCTTCTCGAGCTCCTTGGCCCGGAGAGCGGCCTCCTTGTTGCGACGCATTATCTCCAGATGCTCCATCTTCGAGAGCAGCGTGTACCGATTGCCCTGCTTGCTCAGGTACCCATTTTGCACGGCAAATTGCAAAGTGTGTGGCACATGGCGCTTGAGCTCCACCTCCGGTCGGTGGAGGCGCAACGAAAGCGTATTAATGATCTCCGGATAGCTGACGGACCGACTGCTGTCCCTCATCAGAGCCATCACCGAGCCGAATAGGTCCGGCAATGGCTGCTTGTTGTAGCGCTTGCTCTGACGCGTGCCAAAGTGGCGCTGCGCCATCGGCCCAGTGAATCCGTCCAGGCCCATGCTCATGGTAGGTTGAGTCCCTTAAGTGCAGTTCCCTGGTGGTGGTGGTGCTGGTGCCTGCGCCGATACCTGCGATCCCCGAAGTCCGGGCTGGAACACGGGCGCCGCGGCATTCAGCTGGTAGCTCTTCGGCTCTGGCTGATGCTGGCCAACGGCCAGGGAAGTGGCACGCCACGTGGGTTTGGCCACCAGGCGGCCCAGCGTGAAGTCCATGTCTTTCGATGTCCGAGCGATGCCTCGGGCAGAGTGTGTGGCTGTGGTGCCTTTCATGGTGCAGGCAACAGCGGCTTCATTCAGCTTGGGGCGGGTCGTCGTCCAGAGATTGTCCGAGGGACGGAAGAACAATGGCACAATGGGATACTTGACCTGGGAGACTAGATTTGGATTGCTGATAGATTGGTCCAGCGATCCGTTGGATGGGGCAAGCATGTACGGGCTCTGGAGCGCCACTGCTTGGAGTCGCCAATGCCGCCGCCCAGACTGCAGTCCCTGGCATGGGCACGTGTATAGTAGAGTGGCGGACACAAACACGGCTCTCCAGCGCGACCAAAATTGTATTCCCCCTTCCGTGGCATCTGCATCTGCAACTGCAACTGCTGATCCCCAAAGTTGTCCATCTTGCTGCTGCGATTGGCCCGATTGCAGTACGCCTGGTACGGGTACGGATGATACAATTGACTGTGACTGGTACGGACTCTTGAAGCTTTGACTTCGGCTCTGGCTCTGACTCTGGCTGCGATTGTGGTTGGGCGACTCCGTGCCAGCATGGACAGGGCTGAAGAATATTTTGCGTCCAGAGGGTGCCATCCGCTGGGGCAGGGCATAGCGGTGATTCATGTGCAAATTCTGCATGGTCGCTGTTCTGTTGCCTCGTCTGCGTTTCGGCCTGGAAGCTGCCGGATGATGCACAGCGGACAAGGAGAGTGGGAGAGAGGAGAGATTGGTTCGTTTTAGATTGGGTAAATGTTGAGTTAAGTTTCGCGCAGACACGGATGAGCCCAACGAACGTTTAAACGCTAATTTACAACATTAACAACAATTGTTTTGTATGTAGCCAAAAAAGAAGAATTTTGTGCCGATCTAATACGGATGTATGTCGATGTGGGGAGACTGTGGGTATGAATGAATAAAGTATGTGACCCCAGACATAGTCCAGGCAGTATAACCACAGGCCTACTTATCCCCATGTACATATTTTCAAAGAATGTTTTCATGCTGCAACGTGTCAACATACCGAACCCGACCTTGTCAGTGTACAGACTCTGTACAGTGTACATTTTTTGAGAGGAATATTATTCGCTCCTCTCTTCCATCCAGAGGTAAAGAGTAAACCCATATTTTGCACTACCTTTCCTGCAGTTTTCTACGTTCAAAATAGACAAAGGTATATAAATATACTTGCGAAATCGAAGTGATATTGGTTGAATTGTAATAATAATCATCGAAAGCCGCGTGGATCGTGAGAGCGAGCGTGATTCAGTTCTCAGAGAGCGATAACAGATAACTGTTAGCGAGCGCTGACTGGCTGTTAGCGAGAGCTGTAAGATAACATACCATCTGTTATGTTATGTCCCTTGGAATGCTACTGCTGCTGTCTTTTGTAAGGTAGAAACCTTTCTGAATAATTGTAAGGGTAAAAAACAACAAGCAACAGAGTGAAGTGAGGACTGGCAGCGCACCGCAAAAGATGAATTTGCCGCGGGGGCCGGCCCTGAAACACGCCCAATTCGTTTACGTTTACCCAAAACGATGTAAAACAATATGGCCATGGGGCAGAGTGTGGGCTGGGCAGTGTGGCAGAGAGTGGGTGGGTGGCACGGGGCAAAGTTATGCTCTAAATAAATAAGAAGGGGCGCGAGACCCCAAATTTTCATCGAGCCAAGTTTGTTTAGCCCTTCGTGATGAGGTGCGAGAAATCACAAAAATTGGATTTTATGCTTTGAATTATGGGCGATCCCGGCCCGGACCCGCTTCAGTGGACCGAGGGCGCCCGAAGGGTTTGCTTTTCAGTTGCTTTTGTTGTTGGGTCACGGGGTTTGCTTTTGGTTTTGCATTTGGGTTTTGGTTTTGGGGCTCTTTCTGTTGCCTAATGCCGTGGCATTTGGCATTAGCATTCTGCTTGGCATTCAATTGAATTGCCTCGAAATTTGTGGCAGCTTTAAGGGATAATTATCCTGGATTATAATCCAGCGATAATGTGGAGTAAGGATGGGTATGGTGACCTTTCAGTCAGTTTTAGTGATGCCGAGTCACTCAAGGGGCTCTAAACAGCTTCTGCTACTCGCAGGACCTAGTCTGACTGCTGCCCAGTGTTGGGTAATTTCACAATTTTCAAATTACACACCACAAAATCTCATTTAGCTGAGTAAAGTCAGTTGACTGGACTAAATCCTGCTCCAAAGTCCTTAACCACCAACCCCCAATCCCCCTGCCCTACGCACACTCGAATACACACACAAATTACTAAATGAGTTGCACCAGAGGTCCCTCTGTCGGAGGAGCTGCGTGTGTGTGTGTGTAGGGGTAGGGGTTGTCTGCAGCAGCAGCATCATTGTAATTTGCTTGCCTCACGCTCGCTTGCCCCGGCCAAAGGGGCGTGAAAACAACGCACAGTCCCTGGCTCTCTGGCTCTCTGGCTCCCTGGATCGCTGGCTCGCTGGCTCGAGGCGAGTGGCAACAGTCCAAACAGGTATTATCACACATGTGGAGGAGTCCCCCGGCGGGGGTCCCCGGACACGTTGTGCGACATGCGACGTATGGGCTAAGGACATAAGCGTGACTAAACCTCAAAAGCACTGACTTCCGTTGCACCAGAGCATGGGCAGGCGCTGTGGCTCCTGGAGGGACTGCTGGCCGTATCCTGTTTGGATCCTTTAAATACCAGTTGGTGTCGGAACAATCAGTGACCCGCACCCAACCACACACACCTACACCTACACCAATGCCAATGCACACACACACACACACCAACATAGAGAGAGAGAGAGAGAGAACAGGTAGTATGTCGAACACACTTACAATACACTGCCCGAGTCGCTTACAAAGTTCTACAGGCGGTTTGAGCTGAACAATGGATTCCTAGGGATTCCCATTAAATGATGTCTAAAAACTATTTTTATTTTTATTATTTCTAATAATACAGTTTTTAAAAATTCGTATGCCAAAATTGAAAATACAAATTCTTCAATTAAGCTTTTTTAAATAATTTATGATTTAATATTTATGTATTCATAATTTTTTATAATAAAAAATAAAACTAAAAATTATTTCTTCAATTAAGTTTCTTTAAATGGTTTATTATTTAATATTTATTTAATTATAATTCATTATAAAAAATTAAAAATTAATTTTTTAAATTTAAAATTTATTTAATTCAATTCGTATAATAAAAATTAAAAATAAAAATTAAGTCTTCAATTAAGCTTCTTTAAATAATTTATTATTATTCAATATTTATTTAATTATAATTTTGTAAAATTATTTCTACTCTTTTACAGCTGCATTGGCGAGGGTATTGAACTAGTCGGCGTTTGTAGTGGAACTCCCTGCCACTGCCGTATGGGAACCCAACTTTACCATATGGACCAAACATACATACATATCTATATGTATATGAACGATGATGAAAAGGAATGGGAATGGGTTTGGGTTTGGGTTTTGGGTTTGGGGTTTGGGGTTGAGTTCATCATTGAATAGGGGCCATGGTGGTAGGGGGGCGGCGGTGAGCCCGAAGGTGACACCATATCAAACACAGGACGCGACTGAGGTGCGCACACCATCTTAGGCGACGTATCCTTGTTGATATAACCGCAAGCTCAAGGCTCTCATTGGCAGCCATCACACCTGCACAGTGCAGTGCACAGCACACAGTACGCCCCAAGGAGCAGGAGGTGGTGGTGGTGGTGGCAACACCTAAGCCTCCGAGTTCCATTTCAATTAGCTCGCTTAACCAGCTCCAGATGGAGTGAAACAACAATAGCGATGGCGATGGCGATGGCGATTGTGTCCTGCAGGCGCTCAAAATGGGATTGGATTGGATTGGATTTGACATCTGCACATCGATTCAGCTGGAGGTGCTGTCCAGAGCTGATTGAATGTCTGGCCTCGGGCCATTGATTGGCTTACTGAAGTTTTGACTTCGCTTTGAATCGGTTGGCAGCAAGAACAAATGATCCGTGCATCGATTTTACTTCACGACTTTGATCAAGGCAGTCATGAATCTCCTCAGAGCAGTCAGGAATACATTTGTAAACATTCATTTGATTATTTGCTCATATCTATCTATAGTCAGTCAGTCAGTCGGTCTGTCAGTCAGCCATTGAGTCAGTGCCGCGCTAACTAGCCATAGTGCTGGGATTGTCTATTGCTGTGGTAAATATCTAGAGCTCATCATGATTGTTTCGTTATTGGAATGCGACAATGGGAGGCAAGCAGCAGAAGGAATGCGCTCGACTGCTCTCTGCTTGAAGCTTGTAGCTGGAGATGGAGTAGAAGGCGTTCAACAGAATGCAGGACAATAACAGCAGCAGTGCCGCCACCACCACCACCACAACAGGAGGGGAAGCAAGAGGAGCAGGAGGAGGAGGAGCTGTGTGGATGCCAACTCAACCAACAATTTGCTTCAATTATAAAAAGCGTCGCGACAAAGTGGCGCCAACAAACGATGGGCGGGCGGCTAGAAGGATGAATGGATGGATGGATGGAAGAGTGCACCCAGGCGTGGGGGCGATGCTGATGCTGCTGCTGTTGCTGTTGCTGCTGATGCTGATGGGTAAACACTGGTGGATGGAGCAGTAGAATGGGCTGCGGCCCTGGGTTTGGCCTGGTAATCAGCATGGCGACGCAGTCGCTTCTTTGAGCCAACGCTCGGCGAGGAGTCAACGACTGAATGACGCAGCTGGCCTCGACCGGAATGAGAACTGGCACTGGCACTGGAACTGGGACAGGGATACACGGATAGGGACTGAAAGTGGGGAGCTACGAACGACTGGCGTCAGCAGCGCATT